AAGAATTACAGGAAATTCCTAAATTGCTGCAATTCTTTAAAGTGGAAAATCCTGTTTGTTGAAAAAACTGTTTCGTATACTCAGTTTATGGAGCATTTTTTCCAAACTTTGAGAAAATCACAAGTAGCCTCCTAAATTACTGCAGTTTTGTATGTTTGAGAACTGGCGTTCCTTTCATGAAGAGACAAAATTTCAGTTATTTATCTGACATCATTCAAAGCATCAGGGATTATAATTGCAAACTCACAAGTTAGGCAGCTTTCTTAATAGAAGTTTAAAATATTCTCAAAAATCACATAAAACTCTTAAATCCCTGGAATTTGGTATGGTTGAGAACTCGACTACCATCAACCTACGAGCTAAACAGTCAATTACCCAGTTGCCTGCTCTTATTTTCATAATTAGTGACAAATAAGACCAAATAAATAATCATGAAGGCAAGAATGCACAATAAATTATGATAGATTTGGCTTAACCCTCCAAATAAGGTCCAAAAATACATCTGTATGCTTAATTTAAAAAAAAAAACATATTTTTTTGAAGGCCATAATGCACAGTTAAGCTACCTACCAGAAGAAAGTTAAATTTTGAAAAATTATAGGAAATTGCTGAATTACTTTGGCTTTAGACGTTTTATAATTCGGGACTCCTGTATGGAAATAAACAATTTCAGCTTATTGAAACTGAAAATTTTATGCAAAAATTATCAAATTTCTCAACGATGACAAGAAAGTCCCACGACACTGCAATTTTCGTTATCTTTGAGCATCTTCTATGCACATCGAAAATTTCAGTAAATTAATCTACTTTGATTTAAAGTTTAAGTTTTCTGTCATAGAAATGGGTTAGAGGCTCATCACTCACAATCACAGGAAGTTCTTAAATTACTGCAATTTTAGACACTTCAGCTTCGAGTCTGTTGTATGAAAATCCAAAATATCAAGCTTTTACATGCCTTCGTTCACAACTTACGGTTTTTCAAATGCAATCGTGCACAATTCAAGCGGATTTTTCATAAAAGTTTGATAAATTCTCAAAAACCACAGAAATTTCCCAATTACTGAAGTTTGGAATGGTTCAGAATTTGAACCCAGTTAATGCAAATGCAAAATTTCAGCCCTTCACTTGCTCTAGTTTGGAACTTCCAGTTTCTTGGGTACAATCAGGCACAATGAATACAGCATTTTGTAGAAAAGTTTGCAATAATCTCAACATTCACAGAAAATTCCTAAACGACAGCAAATTTGGATTGTTTGGTCCTCGTGTCCGGTCTATAAAAAGTTAAAAGTTTGTCCCTTTATATACCTTTGTTTGCATCTTGAAATTTTATGTATGCAATAACGCACAATGTATGCAATATTTTTGCAAATTTCTCAAAAATGCTAAACAAATCCTTAATGGCCGCAACTTGCGACGGTTAACTAACCGAGTCGCTTCTTTAATTTTCCAAATTTCAGCCCTTTACTGACCCTTATTTACAACTTCCAGGTTCATGAAAGCAATTCGCACAAAAAGTTTTAGAGAAAAGTTGTCACAATTCTCAAAAATGCCAGAATGTTCCGAAAAGACTGCAATTTTAAACGCTGAAGAACTCGAGTTCATTATACGAAAATTTACGTTCCATTATTTGCATATTAATGAATTATGAGGGCAACAGTGGACAATCGCAGCAGCATTTCTTAAAGAAAAGTTTGCAACATCGTCCGGATCAAAAATGCCGAACGTCACAAAATATCTGCAATTTTGGACTGCTAAGACATCGGATCCGTTTACACAAAAATTATGTACAATGGAGACACAATTTGTTAAGAAAAGCTAAATTATAGGTTAAAGAATTATAAATGCAATCGTGCACAATCCTGCAGCATTTTTTTAAAGAAAAATTTGCAAAGTTATCAAAATATACAGAAGTTTACGAAACATATGCAGTTTTGGATGGTTAAGACATCAGATCTGTTCAACCAAAATCCAAATTTTCATATTTTTTTTGTCCCGGTTTTCAACATACGCATAATAGCATAAATGGACAACGCACAGATCAAAAAGCAATTTCTCAAAATGTTCAAAAATATCTTGAGCTATTCTGGTGCAGTCGTAAGTCCGAAATTTCAGCTTTTTAGCGGCTCTGATTTACAATTTAGGTATTTATGAAAGCGATTCGATTGCACAGACCTTTTATAAAAGAAAATTTGCAACTATTCAAGGACTTCAATTTATACCTGTTAAGAACTCGAGTTTCCTCTATCAAAATCCCAACATACATGAACATATGTAATTTTGGATGGTCAAGACCTCGGATCAATGGTACAAAAATCCAGATGATCCAACATTTATTAAGAAAATAAAAATTTCCAACATTTATTAAGAAAATAAAAATTCCCAAAAATTTCAAAAAATTTTGACCAACTGCAACTTTGGAAAGTTGACGGATCTAGACTCTAAAATTCAGAATCTAAGCCGTTTGGTGGCTTTTATTTCAGCTTAGAGATTTTGGAACCAATGCGGCAGCACAGAAATGCCACTTTTTCAATAAAAAGTTGGAAGATTCTAAAAAATCAAAAGACTCCGAATAGGATGCAATATTGCACGATTAACAACTTTAAAATGTTTCGTCTGTGAAAATCCAAAACATCAACCATTTATTGCCCTTATTTACAACTTAGGCAACGAAAGCAATTTCTCAAGAAAACTAGCAAAACTTACAGAAACATTCCAAATTATTGCAATTCTAGCGGATTAAGCCTTCGGACACGTTCAAGAAAACGCTCAGGTTTGCTCAGCATTTTTATTCACAATTTATTATATTGACTGTTTTATTGTTAGGGTATAGAAAGCGTGCAAAATCGAGTCCCTTTTATAAAAGGCCTAAAGTTTAACCCTTCACTTGGCGGCATCTACAACTTGAGGTGTTAATAAAAGCAATTTTGACAGAATTTGTGTAAAAGTTTGTTAAAGTTTTGAACATCACAGAACATTGTTTTGTACCGGAAAAAATCAGGATTCTCAAACAGAAAAATAGTACTTTTTTAAAAATTCCCACTTAGATATCATTTGACAAGTCACTATGGAAGAACTTTAACTATTTTTGACCACAATTCTCTTTTCAAAAAAATTCTCACCTCTGCAGCGATATATGCAGGAATAACGCTAAGCAGCAGCTGCTCCTGCTGGCCTTTTTCGCATTCCAGCTTCACTCTGGATTCAATGCAGGTTCTGGTGCCCACAAAAGTCCTGCGGTGCGCCTCCTCCGTCAGGTGCCTATAATACACTCCAGTCAAGCTGCCAGTCACCAAAATCACCGTTTCTGGCACCAGCTGGAAACAGCAACAATAAGCCAAAGAAGTTCACTGGGCCAGTTTAAGCCTCACCTGAAGAAAATCGGCTGCTTCGTCTTCGTGAAGCCGATGTGCTATGGAGGTGGCCACATGAGCAACAGTCACTATAGTGGCCAAAGCCAAGGCTACCGATCTGGACAGTGGTAGCATGGTGTGGATGACCAGAAGAAGAGCGAAGAGAGGTAACGGAGCATGTCGTCCAGCTGCAATGAAACATTAAAAATCAGAGAAAATAGGAGTTCAATTGAAGAAAACATACCTAGAAGAAGCATGGCAGTGGCAGCGGAAGCCGTTATTACCAGAGAAGACATCAGGGCCCATGCTTCAGATTCCAAAACGACGGGAAACTGCGACGCCATGAGAATGGCTATGAGGGCGAAAGTGACCACTGACATCATGGTGATGGGCAAAATGCTTTTGTGCAGATCCTGCAAAATAAGTTTATTTAGAATGACATCGGTAACATAAGCAACTTAACTGTGCGATCTTAAACCGCTAGGAAACAGGGTGCAGGCGAAAATCCTGCCACAGATTCCTGGAGTGAAAACATGATGATTTCGCCTAATTTACCTAATCCAAAAGTGAAAGGTTTTCGAAATACAAGGCGTCAAAGTTATGAWAATAAGAGTMGAAAAATAATTGTTTGCAATATCTCATGGTACTTTATTCAGTCCAAATCAGCTAGAATCCAGTCAGGCCTCCAAAACAATCATGTAGGTAGAGTTTTTCCCGTATACTTGGGCATGGAAAACCCGTCATTATCCAACGACTTTCACTCCAGCTACTTACGTCCCCCTATTTTCCCGGTTTATTGGGGATCTAAGTCGGACTAAGCCCCTGTTTGGCGATGCTTTTCCCGAAGGAAACAAGCGAATTTATGGGCGAGTATTGTAAAGAGCAAAACCATGCAAAGCGCTGAACTGGATGCACTTCTGCAAATATTGACCCACATGTAGTATGCGGGCTGCAACTGTTGCTTGAACATGTCCAGTGGCTTTGTGATCAACACGAATTACAAAATTGAACACTCCGGGCCAATGAGAATCGGAAAATGCTTTATAATGGGATCCGACTATGCCCAGTGGTTTGCGTGTCGTATAATAGAAATGCTGAATCCACAAACGGCGAGGAATATTTGTTTGCTTTCTTAAGGTGCCTCGAGCATTTGCTATTTCTTTAACCATCCGAAATTCAGCTGAACCAATTATGGAAGTGAATGGAAACTCCCTTGATAAGTTCGCGCTCTTTGAAGCAAACAGGAAAAACAGCCTTTGGCAAAGAATATTCCAATGAATGTAATTTAGAGTCTACAAAATACCGAGAGCTTTATTCAGATAATGGAGCAGTTTTTGTTTCAGCCAAACAGGGTGGAGATAAATTTGCGGCGTTTTTCACAAGTGACTGGAACAGGGGATTTTTAATAGGTTTTATTTAGAGAAGCATGTAGACGCAGTGAGGTTTGTTTGGATATGTTTTACTTCTCCAGGCTCTAGCCTCTAAAGCCCATTTCTGATTTGCCAGGCAGCATTTCAGCCTGGCATTTTAGAATTTTGACCAGAAAATTGCACAACTTGGCTCTTTATTTTTGCGCAATTCTAATGCTCATTTTTTCAAGATTCTGGCTAGACCTTGTTACGTAAAGTTCCACAGAATAAACGCACTAAGCACTAAAAGCACTAAGCGTCGAGTGAATTAATCAAAATAAATTGTTGAAATTTCTAATGCCCATTTCCTAATAACCAGGCCAGAGTGTGCTTGTTATCTTATTCGGTCGAGCCCGTTTTGCTTTAGGCACCCTCTTAATTTCGTTTAGGATTTTTGGGCTTCCAGCAAGTTTAGCTCAAATTCGCTACTTGGTATTTTTGAAACTTGTTAGGCCTATTTCTCAAGAACCATCCATATCTCTACAAGCAAATAAGGATGTTTCATCACAAATACTTCAGCTTAAACAAGTTCTAAATTTGATTTGGTTTTCCCAAGTAGTTTGTTAGACTTTTCGATCTTTGGCCAAATTTCTCACTATTTGCTATTTTGTGTCTGTCTCGAAAATTTCCGAAACTCATTTCTCAGTAAGCAGGCCCAAGCTCTATGCATAAAAACACACAAGTTCTGTTACAAAACTTCCTTTATACATTGGCCAGGTCTGCCTTAATCTTCTGTTTTTTGATCAAATTTCTAAGATCATTTTTCTCGAACCAAGCCAGAGGCTCTTGTGCGAATTATTATATTTGCTTGAGCAGCCTTTGCTTAAACACATTGAAAATTCTCGTTTGAATCACTTGAGTCGTTTGCTCAATATTGCATTTCGAACATTAATGAAATTTCGTACAGTTTGTTGGCTTATGTCTTACAAAGTTCTGAGGCCAGATTCCTAAGCGCAAATTATGCCAGTTTATTATAAAAGCTTCACTTTGTATAGAGTAAGAATTTTATTTCGATCGATCCAATCGATTGCTCAAAATTAATTTTTGTTTTTGACCAGCTTTTCCTTACTTTTTGTGAAATATTTTATTTCAGGGAGGTTCATTGTAGATAAACCGTCGATTTTTAATCGGTCGTTCAGATCCTGTGTTTGGAAGTTTATTTTTTACAATTTTCTAAAGCTCGTTGATCTCAATCTAAGCCATGCTCCCGTACGTTCACGACTCTGAGTCGTCGCAAATGCTTTATTTTCTATACAATGAAAATTTAGTTTTCATATTTAAAGGGTTTTTCTCTTAATTAATGTTTAAAGTGACCAGATTATTCAGAATTTACTGCTTTTGGTCTGTGCAGACGTCTATAATCCATCGCGCTCAGTTACCAAACACTACAGGGTTTTCTGAATTTGAATGACTTTTTCTGGTTTCTCTGCAAACTTCCACTTTATACACAAAATTATTTTCATTTCTATCATTCGTGTGGTGAGTCGATCATAAAAATTTTAACTTTGACCAAATTTTGCTCATTTTGTTACTTTGGGTTTTACAAACTTCTACGGCCTATTTCTCAATAACAAGAACTGATTTTCAATGCTAAACAGGTCCAGTATAGAGGAAATGCTTATTTTAGAAACAATGTAAATTGTGTTTTAATCCTTCGACTGGTTTTCTACAAATAATTTTTAAACTTTCACCAGATTATTCACCATTTCTTGCTCTGTTACCAGAGACAACAAGGTTTTCTGAATTTTTCTGGCTTCTTTAAAACGATCCTCTTGATACACAAAGTTATTTTCATTTCGATTATTCAAGTGGTGAGTCGAAAATAAAAACTTGAACTTTGACCAAATTTTGCTTATTTTGTTACTTTGGGTTTTACAAACTTCTTCGGCCTATTTCTTAATAACTAGAACTGATTTTCAATGCTAAATAAATCCAGTCTATAGGAAATGCTTGTTTTCGAAACGATGTAAATAATTTATATCGTTCGACTGGTGAGTCGAAAATAAAACTTTGAACTTTGACCTGATTTTGCTCATTTTGTTACTTTAGAAACTTCTACGGCCCATTTATCAATCACTAGAACTGATCTTCAATGCTGAACAAATTCAGAGCAACGAAAATGCTTGTTTTTCCAAACTAATAAAATTCGTTTCAAATAAGTAAATTTCGTTTCAATCTTACAGCTGATTTACTTGCAAATAATTTTTGAACTTTGGCAATATTATTAAGAATCTACTACTTTGGTTTATGCAAAACTCCCAGGCATATTTCCCAGGAATCAGGCGTTAAATCGCTTTTTAGACATCTCGGGTTTCTTCAACAAACTTCACTTTATGTAGAGGGTTTTACATTTCGATCTTTCGAGTGGTGGACCGAAAATAAAATTTTGAGCTTTGCACAAATTTTATTAAATTCTTCACTTTGAGATTTACAAATGCCTACGGCCTATTTCTAAAAACCAGTTGGTTTCTTGATACGTAAACAAACTCACTACAGAGCGAATTTTTGTATTTCCAAACGGTGTTAAGTGGATTGCGCCTAATTTTTTTTTTCGTGAGAATGTACTACTTCTTGTTGTACAATCCTCTCAGGCAGGCGCATTGCTCAGTAACCAGGTCAAAGATCGGTCTGTGAATGTTTCTATTTCTTCAAAAACTATATAAACGCTATATGAACCGCGTATATTTTGTTCGGATTCCACAACCAGTTTCTTTAAAATAAAATTTCGAACTTTTTGAACGGATTTCGTTGGTTCGCGTCTTACAGACCTCAGAATTAAAATGCTGCTGCTTATAGATAAAAAATTCGCTTTATATAATTGATAAATATTACTTTGTACAGGTTTCAAGGGTGCATTTGCCAATTTCCACGCCAGATATTGATGTTTGAATATTTATGGCTTCTTATACAAGCCTTGTTTTATTCTCACCATGTATATCTTAATGTTATCGCAAGTTTTGTGCCCCCAGAATAAATTTTTGGACTTTGACCAGAGTTTACAATTTTTTTTCATTTGTATCTGACGAATTTCCAACTATCATTCATTAAAAGTTAAAATATGTTTTCATGAGCTCACTAATATTGAATACTACACTGAATAAAAAGGCCTCATTTCTCCATAAACAATTTGAACCGGGAAGGTGTAACTAACCCGAACAAAACGCTCGAGTCTACACATGTAAGTTTAATTTCGGTAGTTCAAGTAAATTTCCCAAAATTAATCCAAGAACTTTGACCAGAATTTGCCTAATTTGATTCTTGGGGTTTGTTAAATTTCTGAGGCTTGTTTCTCAATAATGAGGCAAATTCTCGGTGAAGGTTGCTTCCAGCGTATGGACTTGATGCAAACCGTAAAATCAATTTTGATAGGCCTGGGGATTTGCGCAAAATCAATTGGAAAACCTTGACCAGAATTTACACAATTTGATGCTGTGTGTTTTGCACGATTCTAAGGCTTATTTCTCAACAATCAAGCAAATTGATTAGCTCCAGTGGTTTCCTCATAATCAATATCTGGACTTGAACCCAAATGTGGGTTTTACTTTGATAGTTCAAATGCTTTTCTCAAAAATTCATTGTGGAACATAGTCCATAATCTGCACAATTTGACACTTTGTGCCGTGCAATCTTCTAAGGCTGATTTCTCAACAACTAGTTGTAAACCAACTATGGTTTGCCCATAGCCAATATTTAGGCTTGAAACTGATTTTGAACTTAGTTCTTCCTAGTTCCACACGTCCAGACTTCAATGTAACAGTTTCCCATATTTTGCCTGGCGCATAAACCCGAAACATTTTGCCCGGTTTCCTCGCCTCAAGCTTGATACTCGGACCTTTAGCAACATTAAACACAATAACATATAATATTGGCTCGCTTTATTGCCATTACGCCGGCACACAAAGCCTGTAAAATCCCGACAATAAAAGATCCATTCAAACCCATCAAGCTTCGTGTGTGAATTAGAGGCCAGAATAAATACGTCTGGATCGACAGGATCCTCCAGTGTGTGAGCACGATGCACTCAAATAATTATGAAAATTCCATTAGACATCCCAGGTAAAACCCTTGAGCGGCAAATTGTCCATTAAAATGTTGTTTTTATGCCAGACAGTCCCTCGAGGGTGTTATGGGGAATTACTTGGCACGTTTAATAGCAAAGTAGTTTGTTACAATTATATGCAGCTGCCTTAAAACATTAATTCCAGTTAGATCAGCAAAGAGCTTTAGATGGGGATTCAGCTGGATTGTCTAGGCGAGATTTTACATGCTCTTTGGCGCTATTTGGTGTGTTCCAGGCCGGGACTTCATGGCTTAGTTTTCCGAAGGATTGATATGTATTTGCAGTGCGAAATAAATTCTCGGAAAATCATTCAGTACAATAATGTGGTTTTGAATAAAACATGTCAAGCACCTTAGCACTATGAGAATGGGGCGATTCAGTTGGAAATTCGCTTTGAAATACCTGGCGCGGACCTTCTAAGCCATGCGGGAGATCTGGATAATCATCTCAAGGAATATAATGGAAACTTCGCAGAGAATTTGGCCATTCCAGTAGAATTTTATCGAGTATTGTGTTGTATGGATTTATATTCAATTTTCCTGCTGATCAACAAGGGGATTTGATAAATAGTCGCAAAAATCGAGATACTATTTCCGGCCGTATTCTTATCCCAATGCAGCATCCAAATTGAATCGAATTTCGGTTATAATTAGATTGGACGTCACGTTATCTGGATGAAGGTAATGAACCGTTAATTCCCAAATTCCATCCTGGCGATAACTTAAAATTCGCCCAGAATTAGAATCGTTAGCTATTCGGAATATTTTAAATATAATCTAAAAACTTGAGGGCGATTTTCAAGGCTTAAAAATTGCAATTTCCAAGCGGCCCAACCAACGGGCAGGAAAAAACAGATTGTTTTTCACACGACAATTGACCCTGGGATGCGCAGCAAATGAATGTTTTATTGTCGAATCACATTGAATGCTCATCGTGCCAAATAGCTGGGATATTTTCGAAACGCCCCCCATCCATTCTCAAATAACTCTATCGTTTCAAATAAATTGGACTTATTTGCGTCACCATTCCCACTGGGGGCAGCAATTTCATTTTTTCTTTACTCCCCACACCAGCCGGTGAAATTAGGCGCCTTAGTGGATGTCCATGACTTTATCGATGCGTCTGGATAGTACAACCGAAACCAATTTTCCGACTAATCTAGTCAGGTCGGCGACCGAATTGCCAATAATGTCGTGCACAAGGTCTCAATGGATAAATAAATAAAAAGCAACCTGCAGGCCATGGAAACAAGCTCACCTGCACGTGGAGAACGCAAGTGGTGATTAGTATTCCAATGGAAACTATCGTGGATACTGTTAGTCCTGAGAGGAAGAGGGCGTGCTTCAGACGGATACAGTATCTTTGGTAGAGAGTCTCCAGTTCCATGCCGTCCACTGGAAAGAAATTGATTTTGTCAACTTAGAAGTTTGAAGGAAAGTTTCAGAGTAATTTCCAAACCAAATTCAGTATGTCAAGGACTTCAGCTCTTCAGCCAGCAGGAGGTTTTGGAACATCAAAAATAAATTTATCTTTCGGTTTTTCGGTCAAGGTTTAAACACCAAGACCAAACCAATGAAATGGCACCTTTCGTCTTTTAAACAAGATCGAATTTTCGACGTCACGCCCACCTGCATCAGCTGCAGTTACCGTGCAAAAAATGTCAAAGACTCACATTTCCAGTAACGTAAAAACAGTGTTTAATCACCCATGAGCCAATTTTCCAGCCTACCCATTGCGAATATTTTTCAATTGTTTACTTGGCTAATCTCAAAGTGTTCTTCGCAAGCCGCACGAAAAACGGAAGTTCAATACCGGCGCAATTGTTTATTGTTGTTTATACATTTCAATCAATTTCCACACACGAATCTAAACATATGAGTAGCGGTTTATTTACTGGAGAAGTTTATGAATAACTCGGATTCAGTCGAGTGTTCCAGATTTTCCATAATCAAAGCGGCAATTTGACGATTTACTGTATCGAAGTTTTTCTTAGTGGCTTATCTGCCTGTTGAAACGAGATGCATTGAGCCCAAACCGCAAATAACACTGTGTTGAGTAGCGCTTTTGAGTTGAAGGCGCTATGTGAATTGATGAGTTTTAAATCCGCGGGCCTTACTGCGCCGCACCTCTAATGGCGCCTGTGGCGGAATAATTCTTGAATTCACAACTTTTAATAGACATTTTTTTTTAAGTTGAAATTTCGTCGGCTTCGATCATCGCTCGAAATTGAGCAACAGTTTCATTTTTAAGTGATTAATTTGCGATTTTTTTGTTTAGTCAACATTTTTAGAAAAAACTAATTCGGTTATTAATATTGGTTTTTGCGTTCTGCATTAATCACTGCAGCTGAGTGAAATTCAGACAAATATAAATGGCTTTACATCTAATATTAAATTAGTGAAAGATCGGCGCATGGGGTTTGGAGCGTTTTTTCTTTAGTCGGGACGTAAAATTTGTATTTGAAAATATTGTAGTGCGAACAGGCGCTTTCTACAAACATTTTAACAATAAACAAACTGAAATCAAACTGTAAAGCAAGAGCAGAGCAATGAATCATCGAAAGGGCGCACCCGCAAATTATTAAATAATAATCATGTTTATTCTGTAGTTCGATGTTTTTTTTTCTCGAAAAGGTGCATGAATGTTCAGTTTGCTACCAACAGTGGACAAAATCCCTCTGGTTGAATTATTGTGGCCCTTATGCCAAGTGCGGTGGTTTGTGAAGGTATAGTGAAGTTCTTAAGGGTTAAGGGGTAGAAAATGGAGGATAGGGCGCCAGCTTACCAAAAGCTGGTAAGAATGATCTCCAATATTTAAACCTTTAAGCTTAATCTTAGTTGCCGACAAGCAACTGAACCCATCTGAAGCTACTGAATTCATCAACTGACTCTGTACTCTCAACTGTAGGGTGGATTTGGTTTCAATTGGTTCTTTCGTAGTAAATTTTTTAACGTTGGAAATATTTTGGGCTGCTTTGTATTTTTACATCAAGCTCATCTGAAGCTTGTCTCCAAAGAACCGTTTCAGATAAGCAAATATGGGTTCCAGCTTTATGTTTTTTTTTGTAAAAATAACGAGAGTTATAGCTATTGACTAAAAGTTGGAATTTTTTAATGAAGAGTATGCAGTTGCGTGCGTGCAAGAGTTCATTTTTAAATCAACATTTACGAAGCGCGCAAAATTGAGGATTACATACGATTTGAATGAACTTTTCAAGGTTTGAAGAAATTTTTACGACATTTAGCGCGTACTCTTGTTTCCTGAACGCACAACTCTGGAACTTGTAGAGTATTTATCGTTTCTGAGAAATTTATTTTTGAAAAACGCGATGCAAAATGAGTTTCCGCAACAGTTTCTTCAAATCCTAAGCAAAATGATCTTCACGATGAGTAAAGTTCGAAATTTTCACGGCATTTAGAGTGCACTCGTCTTTATTGAACGCACTACTCTGAACTTGTAGAGTATATTTTGTTACTGAAAAATATGATTTCGAAAAACGATGCAAAATGAGTTTCCGCAGCAGTTTCTTCAAATCCCAAGAACAATGTTCTTAACGATGAGTAAAGTTCGAAATTTTCAAGGGATTTAAAGTGCACTCTTCTTTACTGATCGCACAACTCTGAACTTGTAGAGTATTTGTCATCGCGTCTCACTGTGTCGCACTTTTAATTGCGCTTAGCATTTAACCTAGGGGCTTCATTGAATCTTTTTAGCTCATTGTTTGGGCCATTCAAGCTTAAAAATTAAACCCTAATTTGCGATGCAAAATGATCATTAGCAATGCAATTTTAATGAAAATCCTTCCTGAAGATTTACGTTAAGAGGACCCCAGGACCATGCCAGAATTTTGTTGTTTTTGAAGCTAATTTGTGCAAACTGTAAAAAGTTTGTGTCGGTATTGATGGATTTTCTCGGTTCCATTTGTCATGTATTCTATAATTCCTTCTTTTCTTTATGTATTGTATTCCGTGTAACATCAAAAATAATTTGAGAAAACCCTTTCAAAATTAAACGAAACAAAAGCTAGATTAAACGAAAATTAATAAAATCTCTACAAAGAGATGAAATGATAAAAGCAAACAATAAAACTCTACTTTCTTGGGCCAACTTTTTGCTTCTATTTAAGCCATTTTTAGGGCTCAGTGAAGTTACTTTACTACTTACTTTCCCAATGTTTTCAAAGTCTTGTCGAAACGTTGGCCCAAGAAAATAGTGTTTTAGTGCTTGCCACTATCCATAGACTGAGAAACCCAAAAATTAAAATAGTCGTCATTTACCAATAAGAGTTGAAAGTAAAAAAATGACAATTTGCAAAGAAAATGGAAACTGGGAGCGATTTTTTACAAATTTGTAGTAAATTAGCATTGTCAAACAATTTATCAATTTACTCTTTTAAATCCGAAAATCTGCTATCGAAACGGCTAGGGAACTTTTCTTAATTACTTTGTTTCCGAATTGGAATTTTTTCCTTACAGCTTGAGCCCAAGCACTTCGGAGAATACCYTCTAAGTGTCTCTTAAGTATCTCTTAAGTGTCTTTTGATAAATAATTCGMTCTTTACTGTAAAATCAAAGCACTCTTTATCAATCTGTAATGAAAGACGTGAGTAAATTCACTTGTTAAAAGAGAAAWAGTTGACGCKGAATACCCCCAAAAAAAGGTTTTTAAAACAACTTAATTGATGTGCTTGTTCTTCTAGTTTTATTTCCTCAAARTTTTCTGCTTSGCTTGAACTGTTGTCACTAAATAAAAGAAAAAATAKTCTCACAAAACGTCCATTTCCATGMTAGAACTTTTTAYGATTTTTACGTTTTATTTTATTAGATTTCCTCAAAATTTTCTGCTGCGCTTGAACTGTTGTCACTAAATAAAAGAAAAAATAGTCTCACAAAACGTCCATTTCCATGCTACAACTTTTTACGATTTTTACGTTTTATTTTATTAGATTTCCCATTGGGGTTTTTGTRCTTTATCTGYCAACTTCMACTTTCAATTAGTCCCAMGAATGCAACCAGATTCACATTTTTGGCTTTGGAGAATTAAAAYGTTTGAACGCCTGARACTTCTATAAWTTTGATCGAATAATTGCGAGCAAGTCAAGAAGATCATCAAGTGTTTCATGCAAATCGKCATCTTTTTTCCTTTCMMTGTCTGTCCAGTATCCGGTTTTCGTTTAGCTASCTTTTGTTACTCCATTTTYAAASAATATTTGCAATTTAACTTGCAGTGTTGTTAACCTCTTATAGAAATGAATACATAATTGAGTAATTTGGACGAACATTTAACGCAAGTTAAAAAACAGTAAACCAAGAATTTGTATTCAAAAAGACAATTTGCTTCCCACAATTTGATTCGYCACTATCGTGACTACGTGGAGAAACYAACACTTTCTCAAATAGCAATTAGTAAACTGGTTCACTGTTTATTATTAATGGCATACGAAAAAGTAAATCAGTAACACTTWAATGGTWATKAGAGACTCGCGGGAACCAACTAAGTGTTAAATCTTAAACGTTAAAAAACCTTTCAACTTGTTTAAGCTCATTTCCCCACAAGGTAAAAGGGGAGATCTGGTTCAACACGATAAGTAGTTCCCCATTAAAAAATGATCAAATTATGTAAACATTTATATTCAATTAGTTGCAAACAGTGTATTTTAGGTTAGTGGTGGTTCTATAATTAATAACGTTTGCGTCTTTGGGGCTTTTATGTCACCAGCACAAGGTTTCAAAAAATTGAATGACCTGAAATGAATCTGGATATACAACCGGATGATCAAAAAGTACTGGGACATTATTTGGCCCAAAACGAGACGATCTCGCGTTATCTTTTTGTTATAAAAAAATGCTGGCTATTCGACTGTCGGGCGGTCAAAGTAAAAAAATGGCTTTTTTTGATATATCAGGAGAATTAGACGAATGATTTTAAAAAAATCGCTGCAAATTCGTTTTTATGTAAAACTGATGTTTTGATAAAGCGACCGAGTTCATCAGCTTCGGGCAAGTGGTAAATTCTGGAGTATCTTGGTATATAAACACCAGAACTTTTTATTTGGTCGCTGGAATCAACTGTTTTTTTTTATGTTGCTGATACGTTTATGGGCACTTTTGTGCTACTTGTTAATCGTTCTTTCAAACCGTTTTCTTCCAAATTGCGTTCCTCCGCAATCAGACCAAACGAACTGAGCTTTGACAGAAAATATCGCACTGACAAAGGAACAAATCCACAGCTTTTTCAACAGTTTCAATAAAATCCATCTCAGGACTAATAAAAAAATCCCGATATCACAAAAAACTTAATTGAAGTTGCGTTATCATTCAAAGAAAACAAAAATATTTTCGGCTTCAACGCCCGAAATATTATTTGCGACCAAATGGCCGGTCATTAGTTGCTT